GGCCGAGATCAAGGCCTGGTGACCTCGGCTCAGCCCAATCAGCAGAACCTTAGCCTCCACCCAGTCCAGGCTCCAGGGCACAGGCGTCAGTGCGTGTTACTTAAAGACGCTGAGTCCCAGGGAACCTATCACAGAGCACTGTTGTGGCACCTGCTGAAGGATATCACCAGTGAAGGTGTAAGCCAGGATTCAAAATCTAGGCCAGTCTGGCTCAAAAGCCCACTATTAGTTCCACTACGATGAGCTTTCTCATGCAGATTAATACCCCCAGCCCCAGGATGTGCTTGGTACCAGAGGACCCATTTTCAATAGGCTACTGACACTACCTTCTCATTCCACTGACTAAGAACCAGGACGAGGGCTGCTCAGGGCACTGCCCCCTCTCGGAGACCCTCACCCTGGGGCTCTCCTCTCTCACCATCCCAGAGCTGCACACGGCCACGCCCAAAACACCAGCTCCGAATGAACGCTTCCGTAAATAATTCCTATGTGCAGGTGCAAAAGTTTTTGTTTGTTTGTTTGTTTGAATTTACCAGTATCTGAAAGAGTGAGTCTTTCACACAGATATGCACAACAAATGTTTATCATCCAACATTCACCAGGTACAGGAGTGGGAATTCAAAAATAGATCAAGTCCTCACCTACACGGAGAGTGTACTCTGGTGACACCTCACTAGCACAAAGGACTTTCCAAGTGCTCTACGTGTCTAAACTCATTTATAAGTCACACATAACGTCTCATAACCCTGTGAAAGAGTAACTCTATTACTATGTCCATTTCAGAGACGACGGAACTGAGGACCAGTACTGACAAATAATTTTCCCAAAGTCAGAAAACAAATGGCAGAGCCAGCCAGGGGTCTGTGTCTGAACCCATACTGCTGACCACTATGCATACAGCCCCTTTGAAACTTTATAATAATAGCATTTTTAAGTCACACGGGATGAATTCACTTACAAAGTCAAGATTACATACAAATAGGGAGGGTGCATATGTAATGCCCTCAAAGATAGCTCAATGCGGGGGGGGGGGGCAAGAGCATGAAGAAAATATTTGTTTCATGTTGGCCGATATCTAATTTTAACTCTGAAATAAATCTTTTCCCATACTGCCAAAATCTGACAAAGACTCCTATGTTTTTTTATTTAATGTTAATATTAAATGTTATTTAATATTATTTAATTTTTTAAAGACAAGCTAAAGCTCCTAATAATATACCACAAAACAGTACAACTCATTTGGTATGTACTAATAACCTCAAAGAAAAGAAAATTCAAAAACTATGTGCAGATCCCAGTTTTGCCAAACTTAAATTCTTTTACCAAACTTAAAATCAAGGTATTAAAAACATTACCTGGAAGACCAAAATGGTTTTATATTAATTTTTTTCTCCTATGAATTATAACTAAATTTCTCATTTAAATAGCTTTGTTAAAATAGACTTTTGGGGGTGCCAAGAGTCATCTGCAACTTGTATACCCACCTGCCTATTTCGCACGCCCGCACCTGGATGTCTGACCCCAAATTCAGCACCTCTAAATCAGAACTGCCGAACCCCACCTCCCTAACCTGTTCCTTTCTCAGTCTCTCCCAGCTCTGGACATGGAGACTCCCGAATGCCAAATGATCAAAGCCTCTGAGCTATTCACGACTCTTCCTCACACCCCATCATCCAATCAGCAAATCCCACAGGCCCGAAGCGGACAATCTACGCAGGGTCCCCGCACTTCTCAGGCCTCTTGGTCCCGCCCCCCGCTCCGTTTCCTAGCTGGTCCCCTTGCTGCGACCATCGTCCAGTGGCCCTTCCCCACACAGCAGCCAGAGTGAGCCTATTAAACCCCTGCTAAGCTCATCTCACTCCTCGGCTCAGAACATCCGAGGGGCTTCCCCTCTCACTCCAAAGAGCGCGTGAAAGCCCTACCGGGCCCGCAGCCCTGCAGAGCACGGCCTCTCCACCCTCTTGGACCTCGCGTCTCGCCGCCCTCCCGAGGCACACCGCTGCCACAGTGTCACTGCGCTCGCTGTTCACTCTGCAGGACACTCTCACATGACTTTCGTGCCCTCCTCTCCATCCTCCGTCCATGTCTCCGCATTCCCTTCACAACAGACTTCTTAACTGTGAACACGGTCCCTGTGTGCCTGCTCCCCCAGCTCTACTTCTCTGCATAGCACTGACTGCAGCTGGAGCACCGTATTCTGCCGTGTATAATGTGCTCCCATGTATAATGCACACCCACGTTTTTGGCCCAAACATTCAGGAAAAGACTCTTTCAGTTTAATTTTTGTAATTTAATTTTTTCATTTATATTTAGATACCTGTTTTTAATATTATAAAGGAATATTTATAATACCTGTTTTTTTGTATTATAAAGGAATTTTAGCATTTACTTTTGAACATATGGTATAAGAACTTCTATGTAAGAAATAATTACAAAACACAAGAACACGTAAGGTCCAACAAATTTTATGTACCAGTAATAAATTAGTACTACCCATGTATAATGAGCATTCTTATCTTTCCCTCAAAAATCTGAGCAAAAAGGTGTGCATTATCCACGGAAAAATACAGGTAAACACTCGTTTGCTACTGTCCACCTCTGTCTCTGCAATGTGTGCTTCACAAGAGCGGAGGCACTGTTTAGTCTATGCCCTACCCGCCTCTTGGAGCAGAGCCTGGCAAAAGGACCACATGCCATCACCTGTCTGCCCGGCCCCTTCTGACGGTATCAAGTAAAAGGGGTGTTTCTCACACCTGTATGCAGCAGTCACCTACAGCAGCAATTTTCAACTATTATGCCATAGCACACAGGTACGCCACAAGAAATTTTAAAGCATGCAACACCTGACTATTTAGTCCGGGGCACTACCTCTTTCCCCTTAGATCTTCGAATGAAAAAATGACAACAGTCCACATAACAATAACCATCCAGTGTTAATGAATCAAAATCATACTTCGGTTTTTGGTGTTTTTTTTTTTGGTGAGATCAGTAAAAACAAAATTTTTGTGTGTGTGCCAAAGAATTTTAGGAATTAGTGTGTGTGCACCTTGAGATGAAAAAGGTTGGGGATCGCTGCTCTGTAGGCCTGGGAAGGCAGGCTGCTGGGTCGCACCCCTGGGGTTTCTGATCCGACTGCTCTAGGGCGGGGCTTCAATGCTCCCAACGTCCCAGTAGGTGTGGATGCCACAGTCCTGGGACCAACATGTTAAGAATCACTGATCTAGACAGTGTTATGCCTTTTTTTTTTTTTTTTGGTTAAAGAAGAATGAGGACCAACTGGTCAAGGTTATAGCTCTAATAAGGTCTTAAAAGTAGACTATGTTAATGACTGAGGCTGAAACTTTATCCTTTAGAGTTTAGATGAGAAGGCTGACATACTTCAAGAGATACTGAAACACCAAAATAGCAGACTTCAGTTGAGAAAGCTGCCCAAATCACAATTTCCAATGCCCAGGAATTATCCCAGTATCCAGGGTAGGCATGCAGTGGTCATGCCTAGGTTATGTTAAATAGATTACAACATGTCCCTGGGCCTGGCAGACTGGTCCAAAACACACCCTCCCTCCTAAGAATCTGAAGTTAAGATCAAGTCTGGCGGGCACTGATTCCAAGCTACGTTAAGAGCACGGCTTTCAGCAGAGAAGGCCCACACTCCTCCTGGGGTTCTCGCAGCTGCCAGATTCCCATCTGTAACACTTTTTACTATGCCCAAATACCTTCCAACGGGTTCTCTCTTTGCCTACATCACCACTAATTTTTGTATATTTGCAACCAAAACACTAAAAAAACAGTAAATGCATTAGATTTACAGAAAATTGTATTGGAAATACAATTTGTGAAATATCAAAGCTTTTTTCCATTAATCCCCCTGAAGACATTTATTTCCCTTCTGTAGATTAGTATACTGTCCATATAATCGTTGAATTTTAAGAGTACACATCATATTTCTGACCTTACAACACCAGCTCTTTCTTGTATTTGCTTTCAGAAAAGTCCTCTGAAACCTAGCAAAAAGCCACCAATTTGCCTTTATTTATTCAACACGTAGTGGATGCCTATTATGTCCAATATCATGGATATCTGCAACACAGCAATTAATAACAAAAACAGGTTCTTAAGTACCTTTAAATACCTTGCTAGGGAGACAGAGAAAAATAAACAAGAAAAATATCAGATAATAAATGCTATTGGAGAGAAATAAAGAAACTTAATGTGAAACAATGAGTAACAAGATTGCTTTTAGATTAAATGGTCATGGGAGGCCTCTCTGAAGTGACACTTAAGCTAAAACCTCACCAAGCAGCAGCAGCAGCCAGCAGAGATCAGTGTACCGCTAACATAAAGGTCCTCAGGCTGGAAACAGGCTCAACCTGTTCTAAGAGCAACTGTAACTACACAGTGCATTGAGGAACAGGTCAAGAAAAAGAACCATATCAAGTAGGGCTGTGTAACAAAAGAAGACGCTTGGAGCTATTTATAAGTTAACAGGTATAGGACAAGGAGGCTATTTGCAACAAAATGCTCACACTGAATAGTTGAACAAGGGATTAAGAAGAACAAAAAATAAGCTATAAACAGTGGTTATCATAGAAATTTTAGAGCTAAAAGAAACCTTTGCTGTCCTAGTCCAAACTCTCATTTTACTGAAAAGACGACCTGGCCCAGGCTACGGCTTCTTTGGGGTTGGTTCAAAGTTGAGCTGAGAGTTGTACTCAATGCTCTGGAACATTCAGGCCAATTATATTTACATAATTCTTGCCTTGATCCGAAATCCAAAACTGAGTCTTTACCATGTGCATTGCCAAAACTGACATAGCAGCATTCGAATTAAACCATATTTAGACATTTTTAAGCTATCCACACCTAGTGATTCACACCTCTAGTCCTCTCATGAAATTCTTTTAAAGCAGCTGACAGTGTTTTAGTATTTACTACTAGAGAGCTCTTCCCAAGGTATGTGAGGCAGGAAAATACTGACTGAAACAACAAGATGTACTTACATCTGGGTATTCTTTTACAGGCACATAAAGTTTCTCTTGCAACTGAACGACAGGCCCCACCGCGTCAGGCAGCTCCGCGCTCCTTTTCTCTGTGCTGCCGTTCAACGTGTCATTGTACATGTCTTTCCGTACTCTGCTAATTTCTGTTAAAAGGAAAAATTTGAAATATATTAGACAAAACCATTCTTGCTAGTCCAAGGGGGGGGGGATGGGGTGAATTTCACTGGTAAAATGTTAAAACTCAAAGACCTTTCTATCATTCTTGGGCAAGTCTAACAGGGCTATAGCTCAATTAATTTCTACACCAAATAATGTATTGTATTAAAACTAACCTCAGAGCTTAAGTTCTTATCCACTATGATATACTGAGTAGATGTTATTTTATCTAATTTCTCCACGCATAAATGAGGCCAGTAATTCCAAATGACAGTTTTAGTCAAATAACTATCATAAGAATGTCTACCAAACAAAACTCAATATCAAAAGCTCTCTTCTACTTCAGATTCATAGATTTTTAGTTCAGCAGAAGTCTGAGTGTGACAGTCATTTAAGCTGTGAGAAAAAGAAGATACAAACCAAGAAGAAATGGAGGTAAACAGAAGTAGGGAAGAGTTGTCAAAGAAACTAAGACATGACAGAAGCAAGGACAGAGTAACGAACAGTGTCAAATACCACAAAGGTATGGTAAGGTAAAGAGCAAGATAGTTTGGATTGGAACACTAAAGCACTGATGATCAGAGACATTTTAAAGAAAAGACAGTAATGAAGATTAAACTAAACTGGATTATTGAGTGAAATATAAAAAACAACAGAGAGATACCTAGTTGATTACCTTTTTAAAAAACCATTATGACATCCAGGTACAAATATACTTATTTAAAAGAAAGTATAAGAAATATATTTTAATGAATAGAATCCTATCCAAAAAAAATTAACTCTTTTCAGAATTCTTTAAGCTTCCACAAAGTGCTAGAGGGTAGGCTTCTGACCACTGGAACATAAGGGCTGTCACTCTTCAATGAGGTGGACCGGCCCAGCAGGGTTGCTCAGCGGGTTAGAGCGTCCCAGGACGGGACCTCGATGTGGGATCAACCTCCCCATCAGGGCACATTCAAAAATGAAGCAATGAATGTGTAAATAAATGAAACAACAAACCAATGGTTTTTTCTCTCTCTCCTTCCTTCCTCTCTTGAAAATCAATTTAAAAATTTAAAATTTTCAAAATAATTAAATAAATCTTGAAAAAAGTTGTTTAAAAATTTTGTAACCGTCTTTCCATGCTAAAGATTACATCCTCCTTGGGAGAAACGGTTTGTGTCCATTTAAAATTTAATTTTTTTTTTTATTTTTAAAAAGCATTTTGTATGCTTTCCACACATGGAATATCAATCACTGTTATTAAGGAACTATCAAATATGAATGCGCACTTTAATTGTTTTTAGTTATTTAAGTCACTTTTAGTTAAGTAAAATCTAACAGCGAAAAGGAATTATCAAAGGTGTTCTTAGTTATAAAGTCTTAACCAGTGGAAATACTACACTGCATCAACAATGGTAATATTTATTTTATAACAAATTTTCTCCCAAAATACAATTTGGTTGTCAAAGCTAAACAAATGTTTATTTTTGAAAGCAAATGAAATTTTGAAAAAATTTTAAAAATGTTATCTTGGGTTGAACTATAACATATTACAAGAACAAGACCTCAATCCTTTATTTTTTATACTTCCAGCTTCATGATGAAATCTTCCCTAAAGATGTCCAGTATCAAATTAATGTTTTTCTTAAGTTTGCATGTGACAGTAATTCTCAAATCAAGTTTTCAACAACCAAGTAATAATTCAAACATAAATGACTACTTACATAATTATAGCAAGTAATTAAGTGAAGGGAATTAGAAAAAGTTAATCTAATTAAAATTACACACATCCTTTAGTCCCATTCTCTATATAAAAGCACTTTCAGTATTAGTTTATTACATTTAAATCCTCTTCAAACTGACTGATTCTGGTTGTGAAGTTAATAAACGCCAATAGAGAAACCTGACAATATCTTAAAAGGAAAATATAGATAAAATTTGCTTAGAAATATAGATGCAAACATTCTAACTGAAGAGGCTCCCCCAGCATACTGAAAGAATAATGAACCAAAACAAAGTGGAATTCATATTATAAATGCAAGAATAGCTCAATATTTAAAATCTATAAGTAACCAAAATAATGTCACTGAGGTGGGAGAATTATTCTCCAGGTAAACAATTTTATCAGACTTAGAAAAACCAAGAGACTCAATTATAAATGAGAAAATTCGGATGCCTAGATTAAAAAAACATAAATTAAAAAAACCCCAGTAACCTTCCTATAGCCACTTCGGTGACATAACGGAAGATACATTTGCAACTCAAGTTACAGCTCTCTAAACGTTTGCGTGGTTCTTCGATTAACTGCTCCAAGTTCCATGTAATGCTATTACTGCTGTGTCCCCAGCTTCTAGGATCCTGCCCGGAACACAGTGGGCCCGCAGTTAATACTCAGTGGATGGGGTAAATGGGTGGGTGAATGAAGGAAGGGATGCGCGAGGCTGTAGGACATTCAAGTCAAATAAGCCGTGACTCCAGCTCTCAAGGAACTTAGCCTAACATAAAAAGGAAGAGATAACCCAGGTACAGGAACAGTAAGGGTGTAGAGACACCGGTGGCACAGAGGCGGCAGTTCCCAGCTGCTGCAGGTATTAGGGTCAAGAAAGAAGTCAGGAGGAAAGCAAGTCTGAGATTTGTTTTCTAATGACGGGAGTTGTGTAAAAAAGAAGCACAAACAATAAAATTACAAATTCTACTTTTTCTTAAGATAAAGTCTTTCTACTATGCTTCTTTCAGTCTCTAAGATCTATCACTCAATATAATAATAGAACACAAATTATGTGCAAAACAGCACATATGGGAACAAAAGTTCTAGTTCTCAAGGGATTTACAGTCTAATTCGTTGCCGATCTAACCGGCTGAGTATGAGTACTACCCTTTATGAGCAGCAACTTTCTAGCCAGGAAATCATTAGCACTTCTTGGCATGTTATTTTACAACACTCAAGTTAGAACAAGTTTTGATTCCAGTTCTAACAGTAACTGCTTGTGTGACTTTTGACAAGTTTCTTGCTCAACTTGTATGTGCCTGTGCCTCATATAATTAGAGGTTGCTTATTGAGTGACTCAATTGAATCCACTGGTTTCCAACCTCCGTATGCAAAAGCTCCATTTATTTTCCCTCATGGTTAAAAGAAGTTCTGTCTCCAAATTTTTCTTTCTATAAGTTCTGGCAATCAGAGCTTTGATTAATGTTGATACCAGGTTGATATATTTACAGCCAAAAAAAAAAAAAAAAAAAAAAAAGCACGTCCTGGGAATGGGTGATGCTCTAGTTTCCTTTGTGCGCAGCAGATTCACAGGTGTTCATTTATAAGACTCAAGAGCGCTGCAGCACTAGCATGTTCCATAGATTCTTGTGTTACATGAAACACGAGTGGTAATGTTCACATGTCCCTCATCTCCAGCCTGCCTTCATCAGCCCACAGCAGTGGCTCAGAGAACTCAAGGTTCAGAACAATTTGTTGAATCTCCCAGTGTAAAAATTACCACTACACTGACCCAAAAATATACCCAAAATCAAGACAGTTTGCTTTAGACATCTCTGGAGTTCTTAAATGTTACAAATGTATTTCGCTGAGCAAAAATCATCCCTAAAATTTCTGCCACTCCTCCACTAAACACTCCAAAGCTCATAAACAGGTCATCCAATGCCTTTCACGTGACAGCCCTATGAACACCTGAAGAGTTCTGTAACAGCTAAGTGTCCTCTTTAAATGCGCAGTGACATGGTTTTATCCCCTCCCACTCACCTAGACACATTCCATGTGCCTATGTGTCCTTCAGTATGGAAAATCCTATACCAGAGACAGCCTTCCCTGACAGCGGACGGCTGAGCCAGCTGGGGCTGCTGACCCCGGCCCAAGCGCCCGCCTGCCACAGTGTGCTCAGGGACACCTCTGCTTCTTCGGCGAGCACTTCACACTGCTGATGGGCCAGCGGTGCCAAGGCAAGCCTCCTCCACCGCCGACACAGCCACAACTGCGTGTCTACTGAGACAAGTTAATTTTTTGTGTGTGGCTGTTTTCATTCATCTACCAGTTGACATTTTTTAGGGCTGACTATTCTATGAGTCAAAGATCCAACTAATTGCAACTTCATAGAGCTCACACTTCTCTAGCCTGGATATTAAAATACAGACACACCTTACCAGGTATCTGATGAAATCTCAAGCTGCAGGAGGACCTGAACCTCCCTCCGGATCTCTAGATTTCAACAGGAAATAATCTGTTTTGGAACCTACAGGTTGTGCCATCAAGTTTAGAATATAAATTTCTCTGGGGGAGCAGTCACCGTTCCATCATTCAGGCCCCTCTCATTTTTCCATGTTTTATTGAACTGATACTCATTTATTGAGTTTTTTCCGAATCTCAGCGTCCTGAAAGCTACTTTTGTTTAGGGCTACAAACTTGTTTTGCTTATGCCACTTACTGTCTCCTCACATTCTTCCACTTTAATTATCCTGATTTTTTTTTTCCTTTTCCAAACTAAAGCTCAAGTATCAGTCAGTAACTGTTCTCCTATGAGGAAAAATAGTTGCCGCATAGAATAGTTTTATGCGAACTGTTAATATACATCATCTGCCTTAAGCCTTTTCTCTTCCCCTTATTTTACCTATGAATTTAAGTTTAAAATCATTCTTCTATTTCATAAGCCTCAGCTCATTTCTGCCTGTGGCTCTTCACCGCCACTGCTCTTTTATTACACCTGAGTTATTCTATGTGCATCCCACCCTTTGCCACCTTAAAATTTTGCACATTCTTTTAAAATCTGAACTACTGAATGAAGTAACAGATGAATCACTCTATGGGGAAAGTTAAATGTCAGAATTCAAGACAAATGAATAGCACAGAAGAGAAAAATAGAAGGTGAGAAATCTAAATTATAAAATCAAGCAGTCGATAAACACTGTGTATAAATTCAGTGCTGCAATGCTGGAAGACTGGATAAAGAATATTGAGGGTGGGAGGTAGGGCTGGGTGGGGGAGGGGAAAGTGGCGGAAAGA